CCTAATCCACTTATTTGATTTATCCATGTTGCATTACTTTTGATTGCAAAACACCTGGATTATACATGATTTGCCAGCAAAATAGCAGCAATTGATAAACTTGAGTACATTATTGACTGAATGTATCAAACAGAATGCATGTTGGCGAGTTAATGCGATTTTAAGCATGGGCGTACGGGAAGGAAAATATTAGGGGTTGGAAAGAAGTGATTGGGGGGGGGGAGAAGTGATTACAAAAAATTCCTATTAGATAGCATATTTCCCACATAATTGACAGAATTTCCCACAAAATTGACAGAATTTGTCCCATTTATTTCTATAATAAACCAATATTGCCCGACTGTGAAGCGAATATTGCCCGGCTGGCTTTGTTTGCCCAACAAAGCCAGGGGGCGACCGCCCAGCCAGAAACTGGGGGGGGGCGGTCACCCCGTCCTCCCCACCCCCACCCAGTACGCCCATGATTTTAAGCGATTTTAGGCGATTTAAAGCGATTTTAGGCGATTTAAGAGAAATTTGACCATTTTAACCCGCGATTTAATGCGATTTTTGGCGATTTTAGGCGATTTAAGGCGATTTACCGCCCCAGAGTAGGCCTAAATAACATACTTATGGTTCATCAGATGAACAAAGTCTCTCACCAAAGATCTCTTTATGAGTTTGGAAGATGGAGTGAATGATACCAAAATAGAAAGTCAGTCATGTCTCATGTTTGTTATGCTGAAGCGAAGTCGGACATGAATAATTACTTAACTTCATTATTAACAAAATTACCTGACAGGTCCTACATAGTAACAGTTATCACCTGTGCAAGACAGCTTGAGTCAAGACAACGACTTGAGTCAAGACAGTACAATTAACGACGCTCTTTTACAGAGAATAAAATATCAAGAATATAGGCAAGAATTATATTGGAGAAAAATGTCCCGGGGTCTTTTGAGGTAGGGGGTCAATCATTTTACGATAACGATTTTCTACATGTAAAGGTAAATTGATGCATTTGATGGATTGTACTTGTATATTGTAAATATTCTAAAGTGCAAGCGTATACTTGCATGGGATATCGTAAAATTCTTGTAATCGCACGTAGAATTTAAGTTAGTTGATCGTGCATTCTGACAAAGCGCATTTACATGCACAACATTTCTTATAAGAAATAACTTTTTAAATTCTGAACAATATTTCAGTGGAACATAATTATGTAATTTTCTTTTTGAAAGGACTTGCAAGGTCTAAAATTAATTTAATTAATTTAAGTTAGATTATTCCTATTTAAACTTTCCTCCCTTGGGTTCCAGTAAACCTCACCAGTTAGAGATACAGTATTAAAAACCACTATATTTATTGGGTCACCAATACGACAGAAGCAAATCTAAACCAGGGTAAACTAAGTTTATATAATTATTTTTTACTTGAATCATCTCAACTACGAATCCTAAAAATATCAAAATATTTTTGATGTTTGAAGCGAAGGACCTTTTTTTTTATTATTTAAACATATTTATCCACGGTAACCTTTCAGTTGCCTGTTTTTCAAAGGGCCGTGGTCTAAAACTATTAAAAAGATATAAAACTAAATCTAAACCTAAAGTATAACACACTAACATTAATTCAAATTGAAGTATAACATGCAAACGACCTTACAATGCAAGTAAACATTCGATAAAATTTCGGGAAAATTTCGCTATCTTAGCAATTTTTAATAAGCCTTTTGGACTGATTCAATGAAAGATGCTCATGTTCCTCGAGAATTTCGTTTGGAAGTTTATTCCATGACACTGCTGCGCGGTAGGAAAAACTTTTCTTAAGGAAGTTAGTGTTTGGTTTTGATAAGTGAAGTTTTCGTTCGTTACTTCTCAATGCATAATTATCGTTCTGGGACATAGTAAACATTTCTGTTAAATATTTTGGTGTCATTTTGTTAATTGCTTTAAATGTCATTGTTTGTTCACGTTGTTCGAGGATATTTGCAATGGGCTCCCAATTCAATCTATTTAAGATCTCGTCTGGGAGTTGGGACACGACGGGACTTCGCTCAAAACGTAGGAGGTCTTCAATACTTCATTCATGTATTTTTCATGTCGTTCAATCTTCTACAGTGCTGGCATTTTAAATACTACTAGCATTTGTTTTTCCTTATTGCCTTAATGTGGCCCAGCTGGATCATAAAAGCACTGGATAAGAAACTCATGATCGATCACAGGCGGCCCAATCTCTGAACGTCCTATATATTTTGAATATTTAACCGTTATAATATTTTAAAATAACAAAATAATTCAAAAAATATTAACAATATATATAAAAAAATAGATCTCACTTGTTAATAGAATGCATTTGTTGTGTTTCTGAGTCTAGTTGATGCGATTGCTTTACGTTTTCGTCGTACTTGAACGGTCGTCAGTGCATGTACGACGAAAACGTAAAGCAATCGAATCAACTAGACTCAGAAACACAACAAAATGCATTCTATTAACAAGTGAGATATATTTTTTACATATATTGTTAATATTTTTTGAATTATTTTGTTATTTTAAAATATTATAACGGTTAAATATTCAAAATATATAGGACGTTCAGAGATTGGGCCGCTTGTGGATTGATCACACATGATGTTTCAGCGTGCCTATATACTGTATGGCTTCGTAACCTTGTTGAAAATTATGACATCGCTAAATCCAAAATATTAATTCCACGTTTAGCAATAATGCTGCTGAGTATTTTAGTCAAAATCCTACAAGCTTGTCACCTGTCTCTACTATGGAATATCTAAATATTCTTGGTCAGGGAACATACGAAGCATTATAGACGGTGAAATAGGCGTCACAAATTTCAATTATATCAACAGTAGTTATTGTGACGCCAATTGACAATAATATTCCAGCTATCGACTATTTTTTTATCAAGACAAGAAAGACGAAATATATCATTATGGCTCAAAAGAGCATCCTAAAATTAGTAAAATTGCAAACTTTGGTTGCGAAATGTTGTAAAATACGGAAAATATAGCCCTGTGAAATTAGCAAATTTTGACGGTATTTTAGTATTGCGCGCGGTAAAAATAACTATTTTTAAGCCGGAAGTGGTTATTTTTACCGCGCGTAATACTAAAATATATATATTGCTAATTTCACAGGGCTATATTTTCCGTATTTTTACAACATTTCGCAACCAAACTTTGCAATTTTACTAATTTTAGGATGCTCTTTTGAGCCATAATGATATATTTCGTCTTTCTTGTCTTGATAAAAAATTAGTCAAAAGCTGGAATTGTCTATTGCTTGGTTACGAATGTAAAAAAAACCCTAAAACAAAGACGAACATTAACTCGAACACTTTGCCGTGGCAAAAGGCAGGTTTAAAAAGCAATGAAATCATTTCGAACCTCAACTGAATGCGAAAATTATAGGAAAAGGAAAGAAAAACGCAGTAAAACTTAACTGTCTATATGCGTTGTATATTAGGACATCACGAATATCGAATAGGTCGCGTCTGCTGGAGACAGCTGTTTCCTTGTCAATTTTTTACGAAGTTGTTATTGTGTGTCCGGTCACGGAAAGAAACGGCCTTTGGCCACAGAATAGAGACCTTACAGATAGCCCTTTATGTTTATTAGTTTCTCACTCATTGGTGAGCGGATGTCCCAACACGCTATTGTCCAATTGATAGGGGATCCGAGGTACCTAAGAATTTAACGTCCTGATACGAGAAGACTCGAAAGTCTAAAGCCAGTTTTCCACTCCAATCGCATCGTACCGAAATGTAGAGTATTTCTTTGCTTCCTGACCACAAGAGTGGAACTAATGACTTCGACACAAAAGAAAATGCTACGGTACGTTACGATACGATACGTTACGGTACGGTACGGTACGTTACGATACGGTACGTTACGATACGGTTGAAGTGGAAAACCGGCTTAACTATTTACTGATGTCAATGCAAAGGTAGGACTTTCTCGACGACCTTGAGTAGAGGTCCGGCCAAGGATTGAACCTGTATCTATCAGCTTGAAAGGCAAGTGTGATGAACATCACGCCCCAAGAGCTGGTTAAACCACAAGAGCTTAATTGTGACATGTTTTGCTTACGATTTTGACGTAACCGTTGCAATGCTGTCGCCATGTTCCTAGCCAGTACGCTTACGAGAGGCATTCACGAATCATTGCGAACCATTGAACTATAAATAAACTGGAAGGCTAACTCAGGGGGGGGGGGAATTGAAGCCAGTGTATTTTAGTTTTTCTGAGTTATGAGCGGAAATACTCAACACTGAACGTTCGGCTATATATCAAATTGAAGCTATTGAAAAACGCTATTTGGTGTAGAAGTTTCAAGACTTTAGCTAAAAGGGAAATATTGAAAAATTACAAACATAATTACCGAAAATTTGCCGTTTTGCAGTTGTTTTTGTATTTTTTAAATAGTTTTCTTTTCGCTGAAGTCTTGAAATTTCCACACCGAATAGCAATTTTCAATAGCTTCAATTTGATATATAGCCCAACGTTTGGGGTCAAGTATTTCTGCTCATAACTCAGAAAAACTATGTCGGCTTCATCAAATCATAGGCCTTCATCATAGCAGTTAGCCTTCCAGTTTATTTATAGTTCAATGTTGCGAACATAGTGTGACGGCGAGCAGGCTTTTTTGCTGAGTCGGACTTCTGTAAGGTCTATATTCTGTGCTCTGGGCCACCTGCATGTTCGCAGGTCACACTTCAGGGAGTCCATCTCGCAGTCGCAGCTACCGAAGGCTTGCCAGGAAATTGATAAATTTTACTTGACATCTATTTTGCATGCTAACAGAACGAAGAAAATAGTTGTCCCCGGCATATAGCGTTGACACGTAACATAGTCGCATCTTACAAGAGTTTAGAACATATATGTTCTTCAACTTTACAAATACAAATAACAAGTGACCCATAATTACTGGATATCATTCATCTGACAACTGATAAATTAAGGAGTATCAGTCAGAAAATGACCTATACAAGTTTCTCTTCTATAGTTTGGCCGCGATCATTTTGGCAACACTGTCTTACACGTTGGCGCTCAACAGTCAGCCACAATTGACCATAAAAGCAGTGAAAAACAAAAAGTTTGACGACTTCCATATCATCGGGAAAACATTCGACACTGGAAACATAGTAGATTGTCTGGAGCACTGTTTAGAGGACTGTCGCTGTCAGTCGTTTCAAATTTGTGGAGGGACAAAATGTCAGCTGTGTTCAAGTCACAAGGAAGAAAGCGGCTCATTGCTTCATGACAATGATACCTGCATCTATGCTATGTACGAGATGCGAAATTCTCAGGTATGATAATGCTCTTAAAATTTGCCATATATGCTTTTCCATGCAATTTTCCGTCTCTGAAAGTTACGTCTTAATTTCCCTATTGTTAATGTTCGAAAAGATATCAGCCACATTATTACTTTATTTGAATTCCCGGCTGAATTCCATGCACGGTAAATTTGGTCCTGCATGTGCAGCCTGTGAGCATAGCTCGCTCTTTGCCCAATCCTCGGAGTAAATACAGTTTTGAATTCCACGTCCAATAATCGTTGATGTTAAAAAACTAATTCTCTGATCCGAGTTTGCCTTATCGTTTCTCCGTTCAGTGTATATAGGAATCGTTCAATGACCAGCCCTCATTCTTTCCCACTATAGCTACATCACCATGTATATAGTGCCAGGGAAAGTCCTTGCTTGTATAAAGTACAATGCCGTTTTATCTTCTTAGAAATTCGACGACCACTGTTCAACCATACCTTGTCCAAAGGACAATTGTTGTCAACAACATTCTGGTCTCTGTCCCGGCATGAGAAAAATATGTAAACCATTCAACTCCGCCATGAAGCCCTGGAAACGTTTCATCTGCGAATGCCAGAGTGGTTACGGTGGAGACAACTGTGATCAGACTGGAACCGCGACAGGTTGAACGGAAGTCGGCCATATATAAAGTACGTGTTATGTTAGAGACTCATTGTATGAAGTATCAGTATCGTTTTTATTCTGACGGTGCTTGGACTCAGGTGCAGTCTTTCAGTTTTGCGAACCATCAGAGACAGACAAATATCCTTAAAGACCATGTCAAGTCCGTTCTGCCCATCAGTTCTGCTCGATCATAACAAAGGGGACCCACAGATATAAACATTCCCCAAATTTTGCATCTTTAATTCGAACTTTTTTGAATTAAAACTTACCCTAGTTTATATTCATTTACAATAGCGAACCAGAAAAGTGTTAGATATTCAGTTAGTATGTCTTATTTTAAAGTATAGCAGTTCAAAATGTAAACAAAGGATTTGTTTACATTACGGACTTGACATGGTCTTTAAACATTCTCCCACTTGAACACAGGCGTGAACTTTATGCTGACCTAACACTATTATACAAAATCAAAAACAACCTTATTAATGTCACATTTAACCAACACCTTATACCTGCAATTAGGGACCTTAAGCAAACAGGACGGCAACGCGACGACGACGGTTATTCACACAATGATATTCCTGATCTAGTACAAAAGAAGTGAATAATTAAAAGCCCCACGGGAGTTAGAGACGTTGTGTTAGGGCTTTTTACAACGGCAAACCAGAGATTTTCACGTCTCGTGTACAACGCAAACATTTCAAGACGCGACAAGTGAAACTACAAATTTGCTCAGCAGAAGCGTTTTTAACCATAAAACCTTTGTTTTAATCTCTTCAAACTGAACTCAATTCATATATACTGACAATACTGTAGATGTTGCGGATAATGCACAACACCTTCGCAATAATTTATTTGTTTTGGCTGTCGTCCTCGCGTTGCCGTCGTACATGCTTAAGGTCCCTACTGACCCCTACGCCACACGCAACTTCGACCCTAACAACTATAACAAAATCGTTTCCAATAATCAAGAATTCTTCCGACAATTCTTTCGGCATCCTCTGGATGCCGCCCATGCATTCCCTACAAATCTTCAAGCCGCCCATTCCCTACAGATCTTCAAGCACCATCTACACTCTTATTACAAAGCCAAACTGTCTACCTACATACCACCATAGATAATTATACTTTAAAATTTGTTGTACAGTATCCTAAAGCTGGAGTAACACGAGCAGCAAAATTGCTGCAACTTGCAACAAAATCTGATTTCAACGCATGTTAAGTGGAAATGTCGACACATGCATGTTGCCGTGTGATTTGTAATTTATGATTGTGTAAACATTTTTAATTAACATGCGTTGAAATCAGATTTTGTTGCAAGTTGCAGCAATTTTGTTGCTCGTGTAACTCCACCTTAATACTATATATGTTAATTCAAAAGATCAAAAGATAAAAATACACATCTTATGTTACAAGTAAATATTAAGAATACGTTAGTAAAGTTTACATCATATGAATAGGTTATAGTTAAAAATTAATCTATTTGCAAACGACAATTTAAAACGTTCCGTGTTCACTCTTGGATACTGACTAAACTCTGTCCTCAAAGAGTAGCTTGTGGATTTTTTTCTTGGTATCAAGTCGACTATGGCACTCTTCTGATTTACAGAAGCTTTAAAAATATTTCTGTCCTGTATTTCTAAAAGATCTAGATATCTAATATTTACAGGTTCTGATATATATTTTCGCTTAAAACATCTGTCAAAAAACCGTTGTAGAGTACTGAGTTCGGCTGGAGAAGAACCGTAGACGGACAGGCCAAACGTTATAGTAGATATTACTAGGGTCTTAAATAGATAATCTATCTCACATTGGCTATAGCCTTCTGCCCTGAGTGTTCGTATAACGTACAAGCATTTGTTTGCTTTGACCAGTTTACCTCGCACATGACTGGTGAAATTGAGATTGTCTTGAAAAGTAGTACCTCAAATGGCAAGTTCTTTGCATTGGGGTATATTATAAACATTGTCGAGTTGATCATTATATCCCTTCTTCCGGATGATAAGCTCTTTACATTTACCAGGGTTACAAGTCATAAAATTATCATCAGACCATCTCAGGAATTGTCCAACTGTATCTGTTGATGTATCCGGACCGTCACTCCAAACAGGCACTATTATATTTGAATCGTCCGCATATTTAAAAAGAGCGTTCTCGCCGTCTATGTCCACCTCTAAATCATTTAGGAAAATATTAAAAAGGTAGGGGCCACTTACGCTCCCCTGTGTTGTACCCTTATTAACATCCATCCATTCTCCACAAAAATCGTTACAAACGACTCTTTGCTTTCTATTCTTTAGAAAATTTAAATACCAATTTATGATATAAGGGTTGAGTGGCACAGTGTAACTGCTTTGCAGTTCGCTCTATCTAAGAAGCTGAGTACTTTGTTCTGAATAGTTAACAGAGCGTTTGTACAACTCCCCCCTGCCTGTACGCAAATTGCGTTGGGGATAAAATTTCCTCAACTGTCGACTTGACCTGACTATTATAAACGAGCTTTTCGAAGGTCCTCGCAATTACAGGTGTAATATTTATTCCACGAAAGTCACCATCTTCCTTTGGTAAATCAACCTTTGCAAGAGGGTTAATATTCGCTCTTT